ATGAAAACATATATCTTGCCATACGAATAGGTTTGTATTCACTTCTATTATTCCTTTTTATCAACATGTTTACGTTAATGAAAAGAAAACGAGGAATGAACTGAACAGACATTTTCGTAAGGTCTGGAAAACCTCTGCCAAACTAAAGAATATTTGGCCATTCTGTAAGCCACGTGGTTCTTGGTTATGTTGATGTATGGCCTATAGAAATGAACACAAAAAAATTGGGAAGAAATCGGCATGTGCGAAAAAATAAATGTAATGGGTGTGGCATACATAGTTGCCACAATGTCCGACGAGGTGCGAAAATGGCGGCATACATAGTTGCCGCGCCGTCATCAAGGTGTTGGAGGACGTCCACTTTATAGGAACACACTGTTTAAAAGCGGTGGGATTTCCTTTAAACGTTGGGTTCCGCCACTTTCAAACAGTGTTGAGTTGCTGGTACATCGTCCGATTCGCCGGTGCAACGCTGGTTTCCAGCTTTCCATTTATTCTCTAGCGAATCGCTGGATTCGCATTCTGACATCGGCCTAATAGGCTTCTTCCTCTCAAGGCTTATAGCACATCCAGAGACGGTCGTCCGATCCCAACGATCGCAGAGCGTTAGATACGTAGTGATCGTCCAATCGGACATATCTGACGATCGATATGCATCCAATGCTGTGCGATTGTTACGATCGGACGACCGACTATGAACGCGCGCTTACTTGTTCGTCCATTATTATCGGTTCCCACAGCGTTCACTATAGGGCCGTATGCTATGCTTTCGGGGAAGGGGATGCGTCCCCTAAGTCGTATGCTATCCGTCCCCGAAGCTCATTCGGGGAGAGGCCACGCCCACCGAGCTTCGGGGACGCGTCCCCCTACCATTATCGTTGGGGGAAGCATCCCCGAAGGCTAGAGTAGTCGCCGCGGCGCGCACTATTTTCGCTGGAGCACATTATTTTCTTATGGGAATTACATATTATCCTGAAGCTGCGCTTCATTGAAGCGTAAAGAGGATTATGCTGCAAAGCATCGGTGGCGTCGTTGGTGTCTGCGCAAGATGCAATGGATCATATGTCCATGGCTGTGATAACAGCTGCTAATACTGGTTCAGCGCTATGGATAGAGGGAAAATTCTGTAAAAATCAAGAACCATGTTCCACTCCAACAAACTAGGATCCTGCGCTGAAAAAAAGGTGCATGCGTCTTGTGCAATATACAAATTCATGCGCACCTGTTCACTACGCATCATGTTTAGATAGGATAGAGATTGCATTTATTTACTGATTTTGTAAGTAGAGTACTGTGTTGTTGGAATATCTGCTGTCAATTGAGTATTACAGTTATACAGCTCCTCTTCTGATCCTTACGTTCATGGGCGTACTAGAAATTAGGGTCACAAAGCGAGCGGTAGGGAAATTGATAAAATTGCAGTTCATAATCGGGAAAAACACGTTCTTGGTATTATCAAACGATAGAATAAAGCACTGAAATGGATTTAAAGAAGAAATAACCTTTCAGAAAAAAAAACGATCAGTCATATTGTGAGTAGAACATAGTATAAAGAAGGGTCGGCGCAGCTAACAGGTATTCACTTGTTAAACGCAATTGTATGCGTGGCTTTAAGGTCATTCGAATTTCGCGCTCTATAAGCTCTGCGTCTTCTCTCCCCGAATGAATTTCGGGAGCATAGCATACGCCCTGCTTCGGGGACGTCTGCTTCGGGGATTTTCCCCGAAGCAGAACTCTTCCCCTTCCCCGAAAGCATAGCATACGGCCCTATATGGCTGTTTTATTTTGTATAGAAACAACTGCGTAAGCGCACTTGGCGGTCGCAACTAGAAATAATTCCCCCTATCCTCTTTGATTGAAAACCAGTACAAAAAGTTTTTATTACATGATCGATAGACACAAAAAATTGCATTCATATAGTTACAAAGAGCAAATTGTGATTTCAAACTGCTTGTTCCTACACAAACTTTTGAACTTGACCACTAGAAAACAGCTGTATAGTAATGTTTCTGCATTGATTTACAGAAGATCGCGTTCTTCCTTCGGGAAAATCGTCTCCAAATTCAACACACCGATGTCAAATACGCGCCTTGCCACGCCACCGGGAGAAATGTACGAGTCAGGAATGCGAAACTTTACTTTTCGCTGACCGGGCTAAATCAAATCACATTAGTTGAAGCGAAGGAGGAGCAGTGATATTGGAAAGGCCTCAGACAAAACCGAAGAACCACTGAAACCGAACAGTTGAAACCGCAGCCTATAATCTTCAACCTTTCAATAAATTCATTCATGGGATACCTTAATGCCGTCATCACAGTCGTGATAAACTTTGAAAACAGGATCGATGTTGGTCAGTTCACGTTCGGAGCCCTGAAACCAGTCTCAAAAGTCTAAAATTACTTTCGCAACAATTATTGGCTAGAACTGATTACCTGAAGCTTGAATTCACCATTGGAATCGGTGTATCCCTCATCTAGAACGTCATCAGGATCAGGTCCTTAACAAAGAAAGTTCTTTTTGGCCTTTCTCTGCATACTGGGTCATGCAATGTGGACAAGCATACTTACCATCATCTTCATCCCACAACTTCACCTTCACTCCTACGCAGTCTGTTTCCACACATCAGCCTTCCGGCTACTGCAACTGCTTGCTGACGCATCGCCATTGCACAGCCGACGAGAGCCAGAAGTATCGCGAACTTCATCTGGAATCTGCAAAGAACGCTATGATGGTATCAATTCAAGGAAAAACGATAAAGTTTCGCCGTTGATCAATCCCGTCTTTTGACGCGGCACGATTCCACTTCTCATTTAGTTACATCATAGATCTTATGAATGCGTATGCATTATACAATGACTTGCGGGGGCCAGCCGATGTTCAAGTCAGTGTTTTTATCCTCCCAGACAAGTCTGGTACCAATTAACCGACCCCGGAGGGATGGAAGGCTTGGTTGGCCCGGGCGACTCACGACCCAGGATTTGATCCCCGGACCGCTCGCGTGGTAAGCGTGCCACTTGTCACTACACCACTTCCGCCCGATATCAATTTACTATATAAAAATAGACAAGACCGAAAAGCAAGACGAAAGACGATAGAGATGACACATACCATCCGGCCATCGGCAAAAAGATTTTTCCAGAACACCAAAAGATAAGTATAGGGAGCCTTGAAAGTACCTGGCGATATTTTGAGGAACGACTAATGAAGTTCAGGTGAGAAATGCAAGAATTTAGGCGAGTTGGTACGCACAGATGTAGCGGCCTTTCTATGTCTGCACCCTCTCGTATGACGCACTCTCGCGCGTGTACCTTCCGTTCACCACGCTGGGTATTTCTTCTTTGACGCTGGATCCTCTAAAGAGAAAGCGCTCTTTCTTACAGTGTTTTTCATAAATCCTTTCGCTTTTTCTCTCACTGACTGTCCTCTGCGCAGTTCTTGTTACATTTTCGATCGAAAATCCACAGTTTTTATCGTGACCCATGCCGCTGATTAAGTGAACATTTAAAAAATCCCCTTTCAAGGTTTGTTCGGGAACACTAAATAATTTTCCAAGTTCACGACTTTTGGGGGGATTCAAAGCATTCATATTGTGTGGCACTTGAAAACGATGTAGAAATAAAGGATTTCCAAGCACACCGAAAACCCAGAATCTGCGGCTGAACGTTTTATGATTAAAGCTCCAGACGACAATCTTACCCAAAGAATCCAAACAGCACCCATTGGTGAAAGGTTCAAGACAATGGAACAGTTGGAGAACGGCAAGCAATTGTGCGAAGCATCAAAGAAACGAAAGAAAGAAGGCAGTGAGAAGATGAGGCACTCTGATTGGTTCGTTATATTGGCAAAGGACGAAAATTCTACACGTAGGATCTTCTGAGTCACTGGGAGGGTTGAGGTGGTGTAGCAGCGAATGACCCACTTACCGAGAACTGACTCCACGGTTGAATTGGGGTCCGATAACTGTCTAGGCCAGCTAAATCTTCCATCACTATAGGGTCCACTCTCGGCTGCATAATACTGTACTTACCCAAGTATCCAAGTCGATAAAAATTCCCATTTGCAGCCCCATAAGTTATTAATTTTCGTATCTGGTATACGGTGATCGCATACGAATGCCAAATAGGTATTGTACGGAAGAAAAATGAGTGGCGCGTCCGGGAAGAGCGTCTTTTTTCTTCAAACAGTTACCAGAAAT